TCATGCTAACACTGAACATATATTTGCTATTCTTGTGGGAACATTCCTACCAGCGTAAAAATTAGCCCACTAATCCTCAATCATAAAGTAAAAGCATCTTCTGTAAGGAAAAACTAGCAGACCGTAAATTGCTGTTAACATCTGTATTAAGTTGAGTACGTTTTTTTGTGCAACACAGTAACAGAAGAAATGCCAGGACAACAGAAGAGCTGTTTCAGGCGGTTTAGCAGCGTTTTCCATCCGAGTGAGTAAAACCCCCTTAAGCCTGCATGGATAACAGACTACAGGAGAAGAAAAAGCCCCAAAACACAACCCCATGTTTTTCTGCGTCACTTCTGATACCTCAAACGGCTATCACAGAACCACTAAAGTTTATGGTTACTAGAAATGAAAGATTCTGTGTGATTACATTTCTAAATTCTTGCCCTAGACTCATATTAAAATTTACTGCGAAAGCTGTGCATCCTTTTCACATGTGTATTTTAAAATGCTTCAAGTCCCTTTTCTTTCCTTTATGAATAAAAAGTGAGAAATTAGGTGCCATAGTAAGTGTTTAGCACGTAACCACCGCCCTGATCGAGTGGTTTCCTACCTTGTAGTTGTTGGCCTCCCTGTGTGCCTCCACTTCATTGTCAACCCTGATTGTAGTCCTTGTGGTGCATTCATGCCATCCCTCTTCTCCATTGCGTGGTGGAGAAGACCGGGCTGAGGTGACATGCCCCCCTGTGCAGATTAAAAAAACAAAACCAAAACAACTTTTCTACCCTGTTCTAATTTAAACCTCTCTATATTTTAACATTTCACATGTCCATATACACAGAATCTTATAATGCTTTAGCCATGTTGGGAAAGGTAGTCTTGATCATCCAGAACCAGCCAACTAGAGTTATTAAATCCAGTCAGGTATCTGCTACTTTATTCTAGTTTCAGCTAATGTCATATTCACCTCTATGGACACCAAAAAAACATTTTGGGGTGTAGTGGCAGAAGTGGTGTCCAGAAGCATCTGGGGAGGGTGTATCTGCAGGGCCTGTCTCGAGATGATGGGCCCCAACACAGAGCCTATCAGTTAGGGAGAGTTGCCGTGGATATCGATGCTGTTCTTGATGGACACAGGTCTCTAAATATGGAAACATTATAAAGAGCGTGAAGTATGGTTTTCAGAAGAGAACAGCGTATCAGTTCCATTCATAGTGTGTTAGCTGACCGACATGCTTCCATGAAAATGTGTGTGACAAACACAAACCTCCTGAGAGTCATACAGAGTCCATACAAAACCCATGCTCTCAACAGCAATCAGTCAAGACTGATTATCAGTGCATTGCAATGCAGCGCTAAGAATCCTGCTGGGCTTTCAAATTAAAAAAGGAATGCATACTGGTTATGGTTCATGAAAAGCAGTTGATTTAATGGTTGGCAGCCAGTGGAAGGCAAAGATTAAAATGAAAAGAAATTACTGCAAGAAGAAAACAGCAGCAAGTATGTGATTTTTTTCATTAAATCAAAACAGAAAAAAATAGGTTAAACGGAGTTAAAGTGAGCAGTTGTTGCCTCTAGGAACGTTACTAAACACCATCCCAAGGAAGCACCATATGACCTACATACATACATACATACATACAATACAACTGTGACCATCAGGCTATCCTCCACAACGCTATCTGTTTAAACCTTAAGGTTTAACAACAGCAACAACGTCGTTTTCAATAGAATTATAACCACAAAAATACAAATTGAAATTAGTTTTAACTTTTGTTTTTAACCGAAAGCGACTTTAAAGAGCACGTGGAACGCAAACTTGACAAAATACTCAAAACGTCATTTTTTAAAAGTCTACATGAAAGGATCTGCGCAGGTGTGGAGGAGCACACGCTGAATAGTTTGGTCTCACCTGACGATGAATCAGCCTCGGATATTCTTGGTAAGTTTTCCACATCACCCGGTAAAAGTAAACAGTTTTTGTGGGACATTTTGGGTTGTTTTGTTTTTTTTTTGGTATGACACTTTATTCTCCGAGCGTTGCTCCTATCCTGTAATCCTCTGGACTTGACTTCCCTCCCTCTTTATTCTGTGCAGTCCGAGCTGCTATTGGCATTAGCAGTCAACCATTAGGACGAGGTGAAGTGGGCGGTGGGGGAAGCGGACGGGAAACAGCAAGAGTATTATATTTTCTGATATATAAATACAGACAGAGCGCCTAACTTTATTTTATTTTTTCAACTTCACTTTTCTTAATATTATTTTTATCCGGATATTATTATGGGTTTTTTTTCTTCTCCAAATCTCATAAAACCAAAACTGTACTTATTTTAGTGCCCCCATTGGATCTATATTATATATGGTCATATAATAATAATAATATATAATATAAGTTATATATTTAATTACTTTTTTTTATCACTTACCTCACTTTATAATTGTATGTATAAAATGTAAGTTATTTCTTATGGCATTTTTGTAAGGTTACTTTGATTCCTACTAGTGTTTACGTTGATTGTTATGTCCATTTTATTCATAGCCTGCAGTACATTTCAAGAACAGAAGCTGACCCAAAAGGCACATTTCCATTCCAGCTCTTCATTATATATATATATATATATATATATACATAATTAAACCTGAAAGGTGTGTTTTGGTTTTGTTGTCTTAGCTAATTATTGTGGAAAGAAAATATCACAGTGATTTAAGAGTCATTCAGGTGTGTTCATCATTTGCAAATAAATTATGATTCATCTCATGAAAGACTGTCCTACCCTCCATAAGCTGCCTTTAGGGGTTAAAAGTATCAGGATCGGTATTGGTATAGGGAATGCAGGCCCTGTATTTATTTGGTTTCAGACTGATACCAAAATTTGCAGTATTGCACATCATTAGTGCAAGCTGCATGCTGCAAGTACACGCTGCGGTCAAAAGTACTGGGCCACACAGTTTTTCCAGGGGTTGGCCTGGCGACTTTAATATGACTAAAGTTAAATCCTAATTCTTTTCTTAACAGGACATTTTAGACAGTTCTGTACTTCATACATTGTGGGGACATTTGGGTCCTCTTCTGTCCCAGCATGACTGTTCCTCAGTCCATAAAGGCATGGTTGGATGAGTTTGTTGTAGAAGAACTTGACCTCCTTCCTTGCAACCACTTTGGAATGAAGTAGAACAGAGAATGGGCTCAAATTTTACACCTACACACTGCCCAAAAATTTGTAGAAAACCTGGAAGAGTAAAAATTATTGTAGCTGCAAACGTGGAACGATTTGGAATGGGATGTCATAAAAGTTCCTGTCCTCGAGTCGTAGCGGAGATTACAACTGTTACAAAAGGCAAAACACGAAGAAAAAAAATGCACATATCTGTTTCACTTTTCACTAAAATTTTATTTACATATAAAAACAAAAGAAAAGAAAATACAGCTGCACAGTAAAAGTGACAGTATTCTTATACTCAGTTTGGAGACTAAACACACAAAGCGCCACAGTTAATCTTCAGACAGCTTACAAAAAAACAGAAATTATTACTTTTCAAAAGTAATCCTCATTTCTATTTTTTTTTAACACAAACTTTTTAGGTGGACATCAGCTTTTTTTTTGTTATTGAATTCATAGTGTGGCAGTGTGGCAACTACTAATAACATAAATAATTCTCATACACTTCTATGTAACAAAATGTATCTGTGTTGACTAAGTAGCGATTTAACACAGTTTACTTCAGCATCATTTATCCACAGTAAGTGTAAACACACGTGACGATAGTAGGTGATCATTTGGTTACAGCACGAGTACAGCGGCAGATTTTTTTCTTTTATAGAGCAGTTGACTCTTCCCTTTTGTTCAACATCATGTAAGCAGAAGAATCGAGTGATTTGTACATTGGAAATATAACAGATTGAGAAATCTATGAGCAGCTAATACAGTACACACAGAAAGAGAGAGAGAGATGGAAAATTCTGCACTTTTTATTTTCAGATCTGAATAAGCTCCTTGTGGAGCATTATCAAATTTTTTTAACTGAACTGAGGAGGATGCAGTTTTGACTTAATATTTACAACAGAATAAGAAAAAGTAGAAATACGGCTGCAAAAAAATGTTGAGGAAAAGTTGAAATGTACAAGTAAAAGAGAGCCATTCATTTCAGTCCAATGCAGCAAAACTGTAAAGTAAGTTTTCCTCCAATCAAAGCAGAAAGTGTAGAATTATTGCACCAGGCAACAGAGTGTGTACATATAACTACACAGTTACAGTAGCTTATTTAATAAAAGAAAAAAAAAAAGGCTTTACTATTTAAGGCATCAAAAATGAAGTGTAAAAGAAGCTATGAGTTATCGTATGTGGATCTAATTTCACACACTTTTAGTCCCAGTGTGTATTAGAAATTCTTCAGGAAGTGCGAACATTTAGCATTTAGCAATTATTAGTATTTATAGGGTGAGGGGGCGTGTGGGTAATGGTTAGTACCCCGACTGTACATAAGAACAAACCATTAATAGATGTATAGTAGCTTGAAGATAGAGCAAAACATTAAAATATAATACGAGAGAAGACTTGCGATAAACAGTATTATGCAGCTTCTGCTGCCCTAGGAGTGATGAAATACTCGTGACATAAGACGTCAATAAAAAATATTAAATATAGCAACAACAATAAAAAGGCATTTTAAAATAGTCTTCTAGAATTGGTGAAATCTTTTTAAAGAAGTCATTCATTGATAATCCCAGGAAAAGTAAACCTGGTTAATTCATCCTTGACTGGCACCGATCGGAGCGTCGGGTCCCACCGTAACACACAGAGCTTGAAGTTGTAACCAGCAGGTTGGAGCTGATGCAGGCGGACGAATGAGTCGGTGCTTCAGGATAAAGACATCTAGGTTTCTGTATTGTTTCAAGCCATGTACGGTTTTAGCTGCCTTATTTGACTTATCATCCTGGAGTTGCTTTTAAAATGTTACTGGACACAAATAAAATATAAAAATAATCTCTTTTACACAACACTTTTTATTCTATTTTATCCCTTTGCGTTTTTTTAAGAAAAAAAAATGACCAGCTTTGTTCCATCTTAACGTCCAGGCATTGGGATTTTGCTGCACTTTAGTAAGAATTTGCGAAAGTATCCAGCACTTTTTTTTTTACCTTGCTATGTACGTACACCTTAAAATAGTCTATTTCAGCTATGATTTTAGAAGTCAGAGTCAGCGTCCATAAGCTCCGCCTCCATTAAATTGGTCCTGGAGTGGATGGGTCCGTAACCAGCCCTCCGGCCTGCTGGTACCCGAGCCACGTGGGCCATTCTTTCTGATATTCCATCAGTGATATCCATATTTCCAGGGTAGCGTGAAGACGCACTAGGCTGCCAATTGGAGGGAGGGTAACGTGGACCAAGACCCAGATCCTCTGGACGATCTCTGAAGGTCAGGGGGTCAGACAGCATGCTGTGGCCATAGCCATTCTGGCTGGTCTGGTACTGCAGGTAGGGACACTTCTCCTCGCATGACAGACGGCGCGAAGGTTGGAAGTCTGGGTAAGACCCAGGCAGAACTTCCTCCTCAATCTTCTGTTGTTGTCTCTGCTGTTCCTGCAGATTGGCAACCAGGCTTGGATGAGGAGGCAGTTTGGGCAGACGGGGCACTGAGCTGCGACCAAACTCACGCTGGCGATAAACCTGGTGGTCCACCATCTCCTCAACCGGACGCACCTCCTTCTTCCTCTTCTTCTTCTTCTTCTTTTTCCTCTTTATCATTTCTGGTGAAATTTCGGCCTCCACCATCCACAGGCGGTTCCTCTCCTCTGGAGGGGGCACTGTGACAAAATAATAGAAAGTAAAGATTACGATTTTTTTTTTT